TAACCCCGGATCTCCGTGGCAGCCAGTGTAACTCACACCAGCTTAGGTCAAGGAGCATGGATGTAGGGAACTCCGCAGATGTGGAAAAACACACAGCAGAAACAGACAGGAGGAAACAGACCAGTCATTTTAGGGTGGTAGTATTAGTCACTAAATTTTTTCTTTCCTTTTTTGTTTTATTTTTATCTAGATTTCCTAACCACAGATGTCTATCTTGCTTCTGTAGCCAAAAAAAAAAGTACTATACAATGTTACAGAAAGACATGCTCACCTAAGGGGACTTCAAAACGTTGGTGGAAAAATCTGCTGCAAAAAAAATCTTGAAATCGTCTTTAAATGGGGGCCAAACAGCAGTGGGCTTGGAACTCCCCTTGTCCCTTTGTTAGTAATCTGGATTTTCCGTGGACTTGCAAAAGACCACCTCATTTTTTTTTTTTTTCTTTTTAGGTTTTTGCCAGGGCGCACATTTTTTTTTTTTCTTTTTTGGTTTTTGCCAGGGTGCACGTGCACTCTCCGGAGAGAGACAGTGAGAGGGAAAGTGAGAAATCACCCCGCAGGGGGATGGCCACGCTGCACGTAGTCCCTCCCCTTCCATTCTCCTCTAAGGATTTTGGATGCATATGCACATGGTATGATTTTCAAGCCGTGTCCAGGCCTCGAACTGCAGTCGACTATGTGGGAGTCCAGCACCTTAACCACTACACCACCTGCTGGCCCCCCTTCTGCAATTTTGAACACCGTTACTTTATACCACATCCCACAAAAACACACGGCCAATGAGGACCCCGTAGGGGACAGGCCCTGCCTGACATGTTTCTCGTGCCTTTTCAGCCCGTTCTTGGTTTACCCTTCTGAAAAGGTCGGTGAACTCTTCTTTCCTGTGAAGCCCTTCGGGTTTGATATTTGCAGTGATTCAGAGCCGACCCCTACCGACTGGATCGCGTGTGTGTTAGAGCAGCTGAGAGACCTTGGAGTTGAGTAGGGGGACGAGACGGCATTGCATGTCCCTAAGGTGGGACGTAGTCACCCCCCACGGCTTCTCACTCGTGTTTCTTCCTCACATGTCAATAGCACTTTGGGGGTCTTCCCCCAGCTCTGTACACAGAGACCCCTGAAGGGAGCAGCTCTCTGGGCAGCGGTCATTCCCTGTCCCACCAGCTGTGTGACCCCGAGCCCGAGCCAGGTGTTTAACCTCTCATAGCTCGGCTTCCCCATCTGGAGATTGTGGACTCAAAAACACCAACATACCCTGACTGCCAGTCAGCAAAAATCATGCCAGTGAAGGTCTTCCCAGTGCCTGCACCTAAGAAGCTTCGTCGTTACTTGGTGTTTCAATGGGGGACAAGCCGCGGTGGGCTGGAACTCCCCGTGTCCCTTTCTCTGCCAGTTCGATCAGAAGGAGAAGGCCACCCTCCTGGGCAACAAGAAGGACTACTGGGATTACTTCTGCGCATGCCTGGCCAAGGTGAAAGGTGCCAACGACGGGATCCGGTTCGTCAAGTCCATCTCAGAGGTGAGCCGAGCAGACAGCGACCTCGCGCCTGCCTCGCGCATCCCTGGCAGAGACCTTCGCCAGAGACTACCGCGTGAAGGCAGGAGTGGGTATTCAGGTGGCGAAATCATAAGGAAACCCAGGGCAGGTTTACTCAGAGCTGGTGCGGCCTCTACTCAAGGAAGCCGCTCGAGCGAGTGCTCAGTAGCAGAGGACGCCCTCCCCTGCCGAGCCTCAGACCACAACCCACACGTTACCTAATAGGGCGGACCTCGCATTGCAAGGCACGCTCAGCGCGGCGCACCGCCACTGTTTTAAAAAATCACCTTCTGGGAACCAGCAGTTAGCGTAATGGCTATGTGTCGCTGGACTCCCACGTAGTCGACCGCGGTTCACGTCCCGGACCTGGTGGCTTAGAACTCACGCCGGGCACATGTGCGTGCATGCCCAAGATCCCGAGAGGAGAATGGAGGAGAAGGGATTGCGGCGTGACCATCCCCTCTGGCGGGTGATTTCTTGCTTTCTGTCTCTATGTCTCTCTCTGGCGAGCGCACGCGCTCTATAGCGAAAACCTCTCAAAAAAAAAAAATCACCCTCTTGGGTAAAACTCGCAGTGTGTTAGGCTGCCCTCCCTGCAGTCTGCCCAGGGTTTGCAGAGCAGGGTGACGAGGGAAGTCAGGGGCCATTTTTTCAGGTGCTGGTCTGCCAAGTCAGTTCCCACGTTTGCTTCTGAGCCCCTCGAGAGCTGAATGCCACGGCTTTGTCCTTCTGTGAAACTCCAGAGCAGCGTGCACACACGTGCGTGCACACACATACTCTGTGCACACACACAGTCCATATGCACACACTCTCCCTCTCTGCCGCCCCCCAGCCCAGCCCGCTGTATCTCTCCCTCACTCTCGTCAGCCCAGCCCAGCCCTCGGTGCCCGCCCGAGCGCACCTACTGGACGTTCCTATAGCATGACAGTTGGGTGCACTGTCGCCCAGGGCCGGCATCTCCCGCCGTTTGTGTCCTCTGAGAAGACGAGGCCAGTCCTAGCCCTGCAGGGCTTGCTCGGCAGGTCCTAGTGTGTGTGTGTGCTGTGAGAGGGTCTTGTGTGGTTCACCTGGTGGGGTGCTCAGGGCGCCACGGGCAGAGCAGTGCTTTAATCTCAATATACCATAAAGCTGGGGAATGCTTGTTTGTTTGTGTTTAGGTGTTTGCCATAATGCATTGGAGAGAGAGAAACAGAGAGCGGGAAAGTGAGAGCTCCTGTCAGGATGTGGGGTACGCACACAGACCTGGCATGGCTTTTAAACCACTGGGTCCAGGACTCGAACCACAGCCGGTCATGTGGGAGTCCAGTGCCTTAACCACCACACCACCTGCTGGCTCCATAGCCAGAGAGCTTTTTATTGTCACCTGCCTCTGCGTAGATCTGGGAGTGGCTCCCACAGACCCCCTCTGCCACTCCTCAGCCACTACATCAGAGCCACTGAAGTCTTGGACTTTACGACTTTGGACAGCTGAAGTCCAGAAATAAATTTAGTTTAATCCCCAGCTCCAGGGTTATGACCTGCTTGCTAAGATACGCCTACATTTCAGCTCGTTTTCTCTTCTCATAAGGCGGTCAGACCTTTAGACAGTTCAAGGCCTTGGAAACTGACCTCCTAGAAGCAAAAAGCATTCCTTACTTGTGCAAACTTTGTTTTGGGAGCGGATGTAGGTGCAGTTTCCCGTGGGTTTGGTCATTGGTCACTGCTCTTTGGGGCAGCGCTGGCCCGAGCACCCCTTGGCTGGGGAGCCGCCGGATTCTGGTTCATTTACTCTCGGTGCTGTCTGGGCCTTCAAGCGAGAGGGTTAATGTTAATGGGTAAAAAGCATTTGTGGGGCCCCTCCGGCCCTTTAGGGTGGGAGGCAGCCACCTGGGCCCAACAGGGAAGGCTCTGGTTTCCAGAAGTTCAGCATGGGCTCCTTAGGACCAGGCGGCTCACTCACAGCGGCCTGGGTTGGGGCAGAACGGGCTCTGGGCACCCCACAGAGTCCCCGTCCTTTGCTGCTGTTGGGTGGCACCCTACATTGTGTGGGCTGTGGTCAGAGGGTCACGTGATGGAATGAGGTCATGAAAGCAGACGCATGAGCTCAAAAACCAAAACAGAAAGGCCACACGGTGCTTCCATTCGCATTTCAAGGAGTTAGTGTTCCTTTCGCAGGGGGTGTTCACAAAGATCTTTCAAAATAGCCGCATATAAGTCGATTCAGCTAAGGGGCCTGATTACAAATACAGCCTCAAATGCTTGCCATGAAGACAGTGTTGTGTCCTTCAGGCTGTTAAGGTGGCCAGAATGCTAAGTGTTGGAGAAGCTCCTGCCGTTGGGGCTTCCAGAGGTGAGCGTCTTCCTGAACTCCGGGCTGCTTGCAGGAGTGCTTTGCATGCCCCGTCTCCTCACTTGAAGCACCTTTCTTGGTTGTTCTCAGCCACGTGGCTTCCCTGGCTATCGCCACCGAGCACTCTGCCTTCGCCTCACTCATCAGTGGAAAAGGCGTTTGGATGAGTTGTCACCGAGTTCCCCTCCCGGGCATCTGTGAGACCTGCCCTCTGCAGACATGCCATGGCGGTTTCCAGCCAGCTAGGCGGCCAGGCTGCTGTCCCCCAGCCGACCTGGCTGTACCCCGAACTCACAGAGCTCACATGGAAGAAGGTCTTGCAGCTTCTGTGGTCATGAGGTCGCGAGGTCACGCACCTTTTTGTTTTTCAAAGCCACTTCATCTCACGTATCACTTCCTGAGTCAGCGGTGACAAGTAGGAAGCCGTGGGACTCTGCACCCTCGGCGGTGCCCCAGGTGCTCCTGCATCGTCTGCCGGGTACAGTGCGGTGCTCGGGGACTCCCACATGCCTCCTGGCTCCATCCAGGGCAGTGGTTGGTGTGGTCCTAGTACGTGGTGTTGCCCCCACCCCCGGTCTACCCTTGAACCCTTTCTGACCTCTGAAGGGCTGGGGAGGACATTGGTTCTGGCGGTCCCCACTCAGAGCCAGCGCCTGACTGAGCAGGTGCGCTCAGTGGGCGGGGAGGCTTTGAATGCTGCCCTCGAGCTGCGGAGCTAACATGGCAGGAGTATGGATTCTGAGTTCCAACCCATGGCTGCTCCCTTTACCCTGTCTCTGTCACAACAAGCTTCCAGAAACTTCCTTAGAGTCCATGCTTTGGGTGGCAAATCTAAGCCTCCAAACAGTCTCAGCCCCATCTGAATTAGTTTTGTCATCATGGACACTATAGGGAGGTGTTTGAAGACCGGCCTACACGAGGCCACCTCTGTGGGACCAGGCTGCCCAGAGACACCGTGTTTATGCTGCCTGAGCCTCCTCTAAAGGCAGTGAGTGGGCATTTCTGAAAAGAAACAAATCCAACCAGGGAAGTGTTCGCAGATACGTGGATTTCACAGGCACAGAGGCGGGTACACACCCAGCATCCTCCTCACACTGCCCTTTCCCTCTCTTCCACCTTCGGCATGGGCCTCAGCCACACGGTGGGCCTCTCCCCTGCACCTTAAAACTAAGCCTAGACGTTAGCCAAGTGGAGACCCTCCCTTCCTCAGGCGCATCTCTGGTGTGAGAAGCCTTGCATTTACCACTAAGTTTACTCTAAGTATTCCAAATTAAATCCGTTGCATAACAGAGTTCGAACCCAGAGACCGTGGTGGAGCTGGTGGGGGCGCGGAGAGATGTCCCAAACATCTGAGAACTTCTCATTAGTGTGTCTTCCTCCTTGGTGCATTTCCTAGAATCCATAGACTACTCTCAGATGAAGGCTGAGAAGTCAGCCCTCAGGCCTCAGCCTCGAGTGACACTGCCCTCTGCTCCGCGTCCTTCCACGGGCAGGAGTGAAGCCTGAGTAGAGTGGCAGGGAGTGCCATGTCCTGCCCTTGTCCGTGGTGTGCACGCATCCGAGAGGCCGGGCGGTGTTTGGAGTCGGCTGACAGCTGTTCACCTCTGCCATCTGTTTCTCAGCTCCGAACATCCCTGGGGAAAGGGAGAGCATTTATTCGCTACTCTTTGGTGCACCAGAGGTTGGCAGACACCCTGCAGCAGTGCCTCATGAACACCAGAGTGACCAGGTAAGCACACAACGACGCGAGGCGTGGCCCCATCCCAGGCAAGACAGCTGCAGGGGCAGTGGCAGTGTCTGCTGGTGTCACCGCGAGGTGCCTGCAGAGCCCTTCCACACCCGTCTCTCTCCCCACCCCATGTGGGGCAGGTAGCACTGTTTCTGCAGGTGAGTAAGCGAGGCCCAGAGGGGCTAAGCGCCTTTTTCCAGGTCCCACTGATGTGATGCTGTGCTGTAAAACTGGAGCTCAGAGCCGGGCCCCTCACTCCCAATGCCAGGCAGTTTCAGGATGGGGTGGGGTACCTAGCTGGGCAGGGTGTCCTAGCAGCCAGTGCTACAGACTGACAGGCTGCGGTGGCTCAGCTGCGTCACGGGGGGCTCTTGACCCTCTGAGTGTGGACCTCACCTCGTACACTGGGTAAACAGTGGGGTGAGTGGCCAGGACCGGGCGCCCTGGCAGGACCTGGGTGGCCCATGTGGCCGTTCCTTGTGCACTCAGTCAGGAGGGAAGAAGGAAAGAGAGAGGCCGGGCCGAGTGTGTAAGGGTAGTGCAGACGTCAGACTAAGGGCCGACGTCAGGGACCAGCCGAATATTTCTGGGGTATCCCCTTGCCAGCCTTGCCTCTTTTTTCCCCAGAGAATATTCTAGTTAGTAAAATAATTCAATTCTCAAATTTCTAAAAATAGGAGAAAATACATTTTTTCTGTCGCCTTTAAGATAGATTTGCCTAAGAATGCGTTGCTTGTGTCCCTGACAGGCCTGCGAACTGGTGAGAGGGGCGTGCCTGTGCATTTGATTTGAAGGGCATTTCGATCTAGGCGTTTGAAGGCCTTCAGGAGCAGGCCGACCTCGTCACGGCCCGCGGATGTCAGCCAGCAGCTCTCTAAACTCATTGCTGTTACCTTTCAAGTTCTTGTTTCCTATGAAATGAAGCAACCACTCCCGCAAAGTGCAGACACCGTTTCTCAGTAGAGAGTCGGCTCTGGCTTTTAAACTGGCCTCCGGCAGAGGGAAAAGCCGTTCAGAAAGGACCAGAAGGCAAGGTCTCTTTCAGAGGGGAAGTGCTCTTCCCTCACCATTGCCCTCTCCCGGCAAGGCCAATGATGTGAGGTTTCAGGTCTCACACCCTCCCTGAGAGGGGAAGATGGTGAGAGGGAGCTCCCGGGCTGTGGCAGCGGTCCCTTGAAGAGCAGCTCTCTTGAGAGCCCCTGCAGGGAGGCTGCAGTCAGTTTTCGCGTGTGTATGTCTGCACACGAGCGTGCACGTCTGTGCTTGCTTTAGTGACCTGAGTCGGAATCTGTCGAGGCACAGCCTGCCGGGTCGGGGCTCCCCGTGAGGTGGGCACTCTCGTGTTTCCCGCAGTGACTGGTACTACGCAAGAAGCCCCTTTCTGAAGCCGAAGCTGAGCTCCGACATCGTCGGCCACCTCTACGAGCTGACCGAGGTCCAGTTCGACCTGGCATCGAGGGGCTACGACCTGGATGCCGCCTGGCCCACGTTCGCCAGGTACTGCGAAGGGCCTCATACCTGCGGCAGGGGTGAGCCCGGTCTGCTCAGAGCAGCGCGGCCTGCTCAGTAAACGGCAGAGAGCTGTACAGCTTTGCCAGACCGTGGCTAACAACCACATCCGGAGGCTCCCAGCCCGAGCCAGGCTAACTGGCCGGGACTATGAGTCAGTGCACATGCAAAACTCAAGGTTTTGTAACATTTCCAAGGGACTCGTTGGCAGGGGTCAGGGCAAGGGGGCTTTTCCACTTGTGTTCTTACCACGGAGCCCTTCCCGGCAGGAGGGAGGGAGCGAAAGCTGCGCTCCCTGTAAGGGTTATTTTTTTTTTTTTTTTTTTAATGTTTTATTGTTCTATTTATTTATTTTATTTTTTTAAAATTGCATTTAATCACTGTATACTTTACAGCACACAAAATGAATTTTCCTAGTATGAATACTATATATTAGTCCCAAGATATTACTAAACACATTATCATCAAAATTTCCTTTTTTTTAAAGAATTATTTAATTTCATTTATTCATTTATTTATTTTAATTTGACCAGAGAGACACAGAAAAAGAGAGAAAGAGAGAGAGAAATAAAGTGAGAAACAAGCCACAAGGTCCAGGACTTGAACTGTGGTTAGCCCCATGGGAGTGTCCAGCGCCTTAACCACCACACCACCTCCTGCTGCTCCCAACATTTCCACTTTTCTGTCTATTAGATGTTTTGCTTTCTGGGACCAGCAGATGGTGTAATGGTTATGTCGCTGGACTCCCACGTGGTCAACTATGGTTTGAGTCTTGGACCCAGCAGCTTAAAACTCACTGCGGGTGTGCGTGCGTGCCCGAGATCCCGAGAGGAGAGTGGAGGAGAAGGGATTGCGGCGTGACCATCCCCCCTGGGGGGTGATTTCTGGCTTTCTGTCTCTCTGTGTCTCTGGCAAGCGCACGTGCCCTGTAGCAAAAATCTCTCTTAAAAGAAGTTTTACTTTCCTCCTCCCACCTCCATTCCCCCCGCCTGCAGGTTGCTACGTTTCTATTTGTTCTTTTTCGTCTCTTGCGGTCATCAAGCTGGATGTTACACCTCCCTGGCGCCCACACGCCCTCACGCCATCCTCACCTCCTCCAGGAGGGAGGTGCTGGGAACAGGCTCAGGGAGTCCAGGGACCTGCTGCAGTCACACAGCTGGCCGGCCGCGGGGCCGGGGGTCATGCTCCAGTCACACTCAAGTCCAGCATTCTGAATTTCATTCGCTTCCTGTTAATACGGTTTTTAAGGTTTTTATTTTTTTCCTATTTATTAGGATATCCCCCGTATGTAGAGAAAAACACTGAACATGATATGATAACCGCCCACCAACCAGCAGGCTTTCCTAGCTAACATCATGCTGTAATCCCACCATAACCCTTTCACAGCTAGTTGTTTTGAGCTCATTTCAGAATGACAGATAGCTGCAAAGGTTGTGCAGAGTTGTCACCGTCCTCCGCCGTGGTTCCCCGCCATCAATAGCTTTTTGTTTCGCTCTGTTTCATTTTCAGGTTTTTGTCATAGGGTGTGTGTGCTCACTGGAGAGAGGGAAAGTGGAAGTCACCCCCGGGGGATGGCCATGCCACAGCCCCTTCTCCCCCATTCTCCTCCTGGGATTTTGGGCACACACAAGTACCTGGCATGACCTTCAAGCTGCCAGGTCCGGGATTCAAACCGTGCTTGGCCATGTGGGAGTCCCGTGCCATGACCACTACACCACCTGCTGGTCCACCATTATCAATAGTTTGCCATAATTATGCTACCATTCTTTGTCTTTGCGTGTAGGTGTTGGTTTATTTCCTCAGCCCCGTGAGTGAGATGCAGACTTGATTGGATATTTCCCCAAATCAAGGTCCCCCTCTTATATAGCCTCAGAAGTTATGAAGATCAGGAAATGAAACACTGCAGACCCATTAAAGCCCCACCCACTGCCACCCTCCTTCCTCTCCCGGCGGTCATCACGGCTGGCTGTGCGCGCCATCCCCGACGGCTCCGTGTTACTGCGTGTATCTGTAGGCGCTCAGTGTAGCTACAACCAACCCTGGAGCGGCGTGGTTTGGGCACTGCCGCCCTTCAGCCCTCTCTCACGCCCATGCCGTTGAAAACACATGCAACTTTCGACTTCCCAGAGACGTAACTACATTCGGCCTCCTCGGGAATGGGGAGAGTATGGCCCCGCACCCACTGCCCTGCCCCTGCCCGCCCACCTGGGTAGCCTGCTGCCCCAGCCCGGGGAACACAGCAGCCCATGCACAGTCCTACAGCCCATGCACGGTCCTGCAGCTGGGGCGACGCCTTCGCCCCAAGGCCACAGAGCAAGTTCAGAGGTGCCACCCGAGCCCTGGCAACCTTGTAGGGTCTATCCCTCAGACCCAGGAGGCGAGCAGGAGCCCAGCACAGAGGGACCTCTGCCCAAGGCCACCACTAGATCCCCGGGAGTCAGGTTGGCCTGACAGACAGGACTGTTCTGGAATCTGACTGCAGCTTGAGAATTCAGGGCACTGGGTCTGTTTCTTATTTCTTCATTTTTTTGGGGAAAAAATGTTTTTAAAAAGTGGTCAATTTAGGACCAGCAGATGGCATAGTGTACTTCCATATGACCGGCCGCAGTTTGAATCCCAGAGCCTGTGGCTTGAGACTTGCGCTGGGCATGTGTGCGTGCGTGCCCAAGATCCTGAGAAAACGGAGGAGAAGGGATTGTGGCATGGCCAATCCCCCTGGGGTGTGATTTCTCACTTTCCCTCTCACCATCTCTCTCTCTCCCCCGTCTCCCAGTGAGCCCATGCGCCCCAAAGCAAAACCTTTTACCAAAAAAAAAAAAAAGTGATCCGTTTGGTGGTAGGTGAGGAAGAACCCACACGGAGGAGGCCCTGTGTAGTCAGACCCTCGTGGTCCAGGGGTGCGGCGTATGTAGTTTTTTTGGTATGTTTTTTAAATTTTTTCATTGGCTCATGAGCTAGCTGTCTGTAAATAGCTTGTCTTTTTCTCATTCCACATTGTTTCTGAGATTTTCATCGGTCGGTGCACAGTAGGTTTGTCAAACCCCAGCCCACAGGGCCGCATGGAACAGTTTGGCCCGATGACATAGGCCTATGGCCGCCTTCATTCTGCAGTGGCAGCTGAGGCGTCGCGACAGAGTACGCAGCCCACACACCCCAAAATATTTCCTGTCGGCCCTTTATAAAAAAGGGGTGCCAGCCCCGACGTGACATGTGTTACGGCTGTAGAGTTTTGTGGGGAATCAGGCCCAGCTTGTCTGTTTCCCAGTGATGCCGTCCGGCCGGTCCCACTCTTGCCTGTCCGCCAAGAGCGCCCCCAGCCTCCTTGCACGACTGCGTGAGTGTGTTCAGGGTGAACACCGACGGCGGCAGGTGCTGGGTTGTGAAAACCAGCAGGTTTAAGCCCACGTTAACTTCAGGTTTAGGCGATGATTCGGGCGAAGGAAAATGTGTTTAGTGAGCAGCGAGTTACCATGCAAGCCCGAGCGTTTCCGGGCTGCCGCTGCACAGCAGAGCTTCCTGTGGGAGGAGGTGTCCAGTGTCTGTCTGCCCAGTGCTGCGTGTTCAGTGCACTGGAGGCAGGCTGCCCCGCCGCAGTACGTGTGTGACGTGGAGCACGGCCCGGGCCCTGCGCACGGCGTGACTCTCAGTTACCCCAGTGACCGCCACTCGTTCCTCGCTGGGGGACAGATTGTGGCAGACACCCAAAGCTCAAGGACAGCTGATATAAAAACTGGGCAAGATGTGTCCACTGAATCCTCTTAGCTGGTGGAGGGAAGCCACGGCGGTCAGCCCGTCGCCGTGGAGTCTGTCCCAGAGCATCACGCCCTGCGCACGGCGTGACTCTCAGTTACCCCAGTGACCGCCACTCGTTCCTCGCTGGGGGACAGATTGTGGCAGACACCCAAAGCTCAAGGACAGCTGATATAAAAACTGGGCAAGATGTGTCCACTGAATCCTCTTAGCTGGTGGAGGGAAGCCACGGCGGTCAGCCCGTCGCCGTGGAGTCTGTCCCAGAGCATCACGTTGTGGGAGTCACTGGGCTTTACTGTCTGGGACGGCACTGGTCCCCCCCCCCCCCCGCCTGATTGCCTGGAGACCACGGAGGCCCCCGTGCACGCGCGAGCATGTTTCCTGCACTCAAGGCTAACGCGTCTATTCTGGGCCCACAGGAGGACACTGGCCCCAGGCTCCTCCGCCTCCCTCTGGAAGCCGCCCAGCCGCAGCTCCAGCATGAGCAGTCTGGTGAGCAGCTACCTGCAGGTACGCCTGGGCCGGAGCCCCCGCGGTGTTGCCCAGGGTGGCCGTGGCGCTGGCAGCTAGGGGCAGGGTTCTCAGTTGCCAGCTCTCCAATCTGGAGTCTAGGTTTATATAACAGGGTAGGACTTTTAAATTAAACTCTTTCACAAGATTGTAAAGTCTCCGGTCATCAGAAAAGTCATGACACACTTTTGCATAGTAAAACGTAGAAAAGCACGCCTTGACTTTTCCAGTGACGCAGTATCTTAAAAGGAGTGTGGCCCCGTGGTTAAAAGGGACAAAGTCAAATGCCGTGCTTGTCACCTTCCGACTGTGACCGACGGCAGTAAAGGTGCTCAGGCTTCAGCTCTCTCATCCGTGAGAAGGCGGTAATAAAAGCCATCCCAGCTCGTAAACGAGGGCGTGCGTGCACGGTGCTTGAGGGCGGGACCTCGGTGTGCAGGGAGCTGGCACACTTGTAGACGTGTGAGGGTGTCACCGCTGCGTGTCGTCTACTGGATATCAATCGGCAGTAACAAACATTTTACAAACGAGAACAAGGAGCATGAAGAGGGAATCAGCGGATCTCCTGCCCGTTTGTGGCTTAGTGCCAAGCGTCGGGATGGGACAGTGGCGAGCAGTAGCTTAGGTATGACTGCCTCGATCCGAGCACCAGCTCCACGAGGCTCGAGCCGAAGGAGACTGGGGAGCTCACGTGCGGGGCCCCTGGCTTTGGCCTCGTGGCAGACATGGTCAGCAGAGGGTTTTAGGCGTTCGAATAGCTTTTAGCCTGGCCTTAAGTCAGGTCTTTCCCGTGTTTGTGCCTCCGCTCCCGCTGTATTCTAAAGGTTTTCCAAGTAGCCACAGAGCTGCACCCCAAAGCCACTGGTGTTGATGCTTCCCTCCACAGACTCAGGACGTGGCCTCCAGCTACGACCTGAACAGTCCCCTAAACAATGAGGGGCTGGAGGGCTTCGACGAGATGCGGCTGGAGCTGGACCAGCTGGAGGTGCGGGAGAAGCAGCTGCAGGAGCGCGTGCAGCAGCTGGACAGGGAGAACCAGGAGCTGAGGGCGGCCGTCAGCCTGCAGGGCCAGCAGCTGCAGCTGGAGAGGGAGCGGGGGCGCGCCGCGGTGGAGGACAGCGAGCGCCTCGCCCGCACGGTGGCCGAGCTCCAGAAGCAGTGGGATGTCACCCAAGCCACCCAGAGCACCCTGAAGGAGCTGCAGGTGTGTCTGCAGGCCCTGGAGCTGGGGGCAGCAGAGAAGCAGGAGGACTGCCATTCGACTCTGCGGCGTCTGGAGGCCATGCTGCAGCCCCTGGCGCAGGAGCTCAAGTCTGCACAGGACTCTGCTGGCAGGAAGGACCAGCACGTAGCCAGTGCCCCGGGTGGGCTGGCCGTGGCTGAGCAGAGGGCGGACATGGCTCAGGACACACAGGGGCAGCAAGGGTCCATCCCCAGTGACTCGGCCCTGGAGATACAGGAGCTGAGGGAGAAGCTCCGAGCCCTGGAAGGGGAGAGCAGCAAGGTCCAGGAGCTCCACAGGCAGCAGAGCGCCCAGCTGGAGCAGCTGGCCAGGGAGCTGCAGCTGAAGGAGGAGGCCCGGGCCAGCCTGGAGAGCCTGGTGAAGGAGGTGGCCCCACTCCGCGAGGAGCTGTCTGGAAAGGGACAGGAGGCAGCCCTTCTCCGACGACAGCTGCAGGAGGCACTGGCTCACATGGGCTCACTGGAGGAGGAGCTGGCAGAGGTGAGGCAGAAGGAACAGCGGCAGCGGGAGGAGAAGGTGCTCCTGGAGCAGGAAGCCCGGTCCCTGACCTGGCAGCTGCAGCACCTGGAGACAAAGCTGTCACAGGTGAGCCAGCATGTGGGTGACCTGGAGGAGCAGAAGAAGCAGCTCATCCAGGACAGAGACCGCCTTGCCCAGAAGGTGGGGGCACTGGAGCAGCTTGCTGGGCAGCCGGGTGCAGAGCTGCCTGCGGTGGGCGAGAGGAGTGAGGCCCCGGCCCCCTTGGACTCCGCCCTGCCACAGTCTTATGAGAAGCCAGAGGAGGAGCAGCAGGCCCTGCAGGAGGGACAGGTGGACAGTACTAAGGCTCCCGGGGGCGACCAGGAGGAGGAGCTGCGGCAGGCCAACAGGGAGCTGGAGAAGGAGCTGCAGAACGTGGTGGGGCGCAACCAGCTCCTGGAGGGCAAGCTGCAGGCACTGCAGGCTGACTACCAGGCACTGCAGCAGCGGGAGGCCTCCATCCGGGGCTCGCCTGCCCCTCTAGAG